GGCCACTTTCGACACTCTCTTGACTCTCGGGATATGCTGCGAACAGTGCAGCGTGCATCTGCATGAGGGTCTGCAGTATCGTGTGCGGTCCGTACTCGCCTGGAGCGAGCGTGCCAGGCGGTATGTATGGGTTCCCTGGCACGCCCGCAGTGAATGCTTGAGACTCTAATTCCATCAGATCAGCATAATTTGGAGGATATACTGGAGTGGGCCTGCTTCCAGGCATAAGGTCGGGTTGATGTCGAAGGTTGTTGTCAACCTCCGAAGGCGAGGCCTCAACAGTGACATCCTCGTCGCTGCTCTCGTCGGCCATGATGTTGCCTGGGTCGCCGAACATACAGTCGAAGAAAGATAAGGGCTGGTTTCCCAGCACTCCATTCTCCACAGGCGTAAGCTCGATATTTCCGAGAACAAACCTGCGGAGGTACTCGAGGTAGTACGCGTACAGTCCATGGCCATACGCCTCGGGCTCATCCAAGTTGTCCATGCTGCTGGCCCAAGTGAAAAATATCTGTCCCACGGCCTCAAAATCTTGGAGGCTCAGATATTCAATGAATGGTTCACTTGAGCCGAAATGCACTTCGGTCGATCTGCCCTTTCCATTTCCCTTCGCTGGACAGTCTTTTACAATATGATCGGCACTATCGCACTCATGGCACTTTCGGATCTGGCCGTCTCTACCTCGCGGGTTTCCCCGCCTACCTTTACCTTTGCCTGAGGTATCTCTACGGCCTTTTCCACGGCCTTTCCCACCGACAAATATCTCATGATACTGATCATCTGAAAGCCTCTGGAAGAAAGCCGAGATGCCTCGTCCACTCAACCTGCGGCGACCCCGTTTGCCTTTACCTTTTCCTTTGAAGCTCCTCCGTATCCTCCTATAACACGACGCACTGGTTTTCGCGTGAACCTCCTCCACCTCCGCTTTGCCTGTTGTAATAGCCAGAACAGGTGTTCGGCGCGCTGATTGTCCCCTTCCATTTGCATGATATCTGACCAATCTAGGGGTTCGATACCATCAGATGATATGGTTTCGGTGTCGGTGCCGGAGTCGAAATCGTCATTACCTAGGTAGGTGGACACACCGTCGTTTAGGGGATTCGCTTCGCCCCATAGGGAACGGTGTGGTTGAGGTTCTCTAGGAGGAGGGCTGGTTGCCCAGCTTGGTTGTGATCGATCCCTTGTAAGTAGGGCAGTAGACTCTCCAGGATCGTCGGCCCATATGCTTGAGGGCCCGTTGCCAGGTTGAGTTTCAATGGTTAAGGTAGTATAGAAATTTGTATTACCAGTTCCCCTTCCCCTTCCAAACACTGATCCTATGTTACCAGGAGACCGTTCTGACAAATGGCCTATCGAACGCATCCTCTCACACAACTCATCATACTGTTGTTGTGCTCGGGGCATTTGGCGGTTGAGTGGCTGCAAGAGTTGCATGGCTCGCTGGTTGCCGACGCCTAGGGCGCGGAATAGGATAGTAGTGAGCAGTTGGAAGTTGGGAAGGTCAAGCCCCACCGACTGTGCCTCAGGACGGGCCATCTCGAACCGAGTGAGGGTTACATCGATTCGTTCTCCGCGAGGCACATGGAAGTCGATGAGCTGTGTGCCTGAAGTGTGCTGGCGCTCATCTTCCAGGCGTTCGAACTTCATGCTTAAGAGGAACATGATGTAGGTTACTGGGTCGGTGTGGACACCATCGATGTCCGCACCGTAGCTTATAATGTCAGGTGGTACCCTCATGGCGACTGTCCTCGCTAGGCCACCCATGCCGCGTTGCATGGCGGCTGCTTGGGCCTGTGGCGTCATGCGTCCGCTTGTGACGTTAAGCCACGCGTTGACCTCGTAAACGTATTCGCGGAAAAGGTACGTTGCCTTGAGGGTCCCAGTATGGGCCAGGTGTTTGCCCATCTGTGCTATTGTCTCCTCGGCGCATGTGTCCGATTGCTGCCCCCAGCGCAAACCATATGATGGCGAAGATAACCAACCCAAGGCTATGAAGATATGGGTGGTTATCAGGCGCGTTGCCGCGCTGGGGTAGGGCTTGTAGCGCCTTGTCAAGTCTACGAGGCGCTTTATCTTGCGGGTCTCCCCGCCTCTGCTTCAAGTACTGCGCTTTTGGCTCGTTGCCGAGCGGTTGGTCGTAGCGTAGTGATGAAGCGTATATGGTACCAATGTTGTTGTCTAGACGTCGTACCTCTCGTGTTGCTTCTTGCTCTTGGATTGATCCTCGTAAATGTAGTCGGAGTGGTGGCGCAGGCTGGTAGTTGGTCACGAAGATCGTGCCGGATATCGTGAGGATGAGAAGAGCAAGAGCTGACCACACGAGAGTGCGGCCAGCTCCGCTACCAAGTCTGAAATGACTATGGTAAGTCAATAGCATCCGATTCCATGGGAAGCGGATGGCAGATAGTGTCCAATGCCATGCTGTGTTGGTTCAGTATGGGGAGTGGACGGATAAGATAGGATAAGATCGATGTAATGATCTTTCCAGCACATAGCGAACACACGCAGTGTCCGGGCAAATAGGGCGCGCGTGCCTTGAGCCAAAGGCAACGGCGCGCGAGCTATACTCGCGATCCTCTATAACATCTCCCAAAGAGCTACCCTTAAAGTGAGGCCGCTTCGATTTCGAGATGTAGGAAGGCTTAACACAAGAGCCCTTCAACTAACACAGCCGAGGTCGCAGAACCGAGAGCATCGAAAGACATGCATGATGCGCACCGGCACACCAGTAGAGGAGAATCATCGAGATAAACAGACAGTTTCAAAGGTCCGCGCGGATCTCTGGGATCAGCACTCAGCCCGCCCAACTGGCCCACGAAGCGCTCAGGGGGGTCCACAGATCCAAGATGTCCGCTCGGACCTCCAAAACATATGATCATGCCATTATTTCTGTTTCGGCTCATGCTGTGCTGTGTGCGATGCCCTGTCGTTGGGATATGTCGCACCCCATCTGGTAATGATAGTACTGATGATGATGATGATAATAATAAGGAGGATACTGATAATCATAATCACACGCATAAGCAGCGTAATACTCACAATGATGCTACTAAGAATAATAAGAAGAAGCAGACGAGGTTGGCATGGCATTTGGGAGATCTCCTGGCCCTGGCCATGCTATCCACACACCCCTATTGCAATCCTCACGCCCCTCCTCGACGCCTGGTTCTGGGGCCATACCTCGGCCCTCTGGCGGCCCGCTGGGGACGAGTCGGACACCCCCCGGGCAGCCCTCGGCGAGGCGCGGCTCCGGAAGAGCAGCCCGAGGTCGGAAACACCCCGAGAGCCAACGCACGCCTCCTCCAGCAGCCAGCACAGTCAACCTGCACAATGAGGACGCACGAGAAGGATGCAAGGGCCTTGGAAGGCCACATCGAAGCTTTTCGAGCAGGGCGTGGCCAACGAAAGTGGCCAATGACGGACGGAGGAAGCAAGGCTGCAAGGGTACCGTTGGGAAGGTTGCCCATGCTTACTATGTGGGTTGACTGTAACCAACGAAAACATCCTATCACCCCCCTGCCACCCTCGGGCCGCAGACCTCATCCCAGGGCTGCATGGGCTTCGGAAGCGACATAGATTTTTGTTGCGTTGTCTAGTTTTCCGATGTCTGTTTGTGTTGCTACCGGCTCCGTCGCCGTGCTTTTTTGCGGTTCTGTCCCCAGTTCTCTTAGCGTTTTCACACCCGAGGGCTAATGTCTCGAACAAGCGTGATAAAAAAACTGTGATAACAAACTGTGGTAAAGCAACTTGTGTGATAAAACGCTGTGATATCATTTGTTTTTTATCACAGTTGTTTATCACAATTGTTTTATCACACTTGTTCGGATTTGTTTACCACACTTGTTCGGAGTTTTGTATCACAGTTTCTTTTAATCACACTTGTTTATCACACTTGTTCGAAACGGTAGGACAAAAACATGGCTCTGCCGTTTCGAGGGCCCACGTTGCGTCCTAGGGTCGCAGGCCCGATGGTCAACGAGAACGCCCTCACACTAGGTCGGGCATGCCCTCCTGCAGGCGTGTTTTGAAAGAAGCAAAAGGCCAAACAAGACCCACAACATGATACACCATCGTTGAAACATAGCGGATCTACTACTTTTTGACCATGCTTGTTGAATCTTCCTCCTGTGGAAGGACATGCCTGACTTGACCCTAACCCTCAAGCAGGCGCGCGCGCGCTCGCGGTGGATAGCCGAAAGGAGCGCTGGGGTTATGTTGCTCCCATCGTGCCTACGGACCACATCACAGAAATAAGTTCGAGCACCCGGAAACGTGTCGAAAGAGTGTCGAAATAGTGCCGAAACAATGTTGGACGAGTGTCTCCCGGGGCCCGACGCGTGAAAGCCCTCGAGTTTCGGTACTTTTTGGTGCTCGACATGCTTCCTGGTGGCCAAGGCTAAGAGTAGGTTGGAACACCATAGCCGTGACCCTCAAGCAGGCGCGCGCGCGCTCGCCGCGGCTATCCGAAAGGAGCGCTTGTGGTATTGCCCTTTGTGCACTCAGCGCGTCCTCTGTCCACACTCACCAGGGTGGAGCAACGCTCGTGGACATGTCGCGGGGGCTCCCCGGCCACCACTGTGTCAATGCTGAGCTACACTGTCAATGCCTCGCTCTCCATGGGCCTTGCTGTGTTCCTGCTCGTCAACATCTGTCACGTGTGCGGAGCTGCGCTGCCAATGCCGTGCTCTCCTGTGGCTCTGCTGTGCTCCTGCTCGCAACGCGCACCGCCAGAGGCGGCGGAGAGCTTGAGAGATCCTCTTCCTCCTCCTCCTCCTCCTCCTGCTTCCTCCTCCTCCTCCTCTTCCTCCTCTCCTCCTCCTCCTCCTCCTCCTCCTCCTCTCCTCCTCCCTCCTCCTCCTCCTCCTCCTCCTCCTCCTCCTCCTCCTCCTCTCCTCCTCCTCCCTCCTCCTCCCTCCTCCTCCTCTCCTCCTCTCCTCCTCCTCTCCTCCTCCTCCTCCTCCTCCTCATCATCATCATCCTCCGCCGCCAGAGGCGGCGGCCTCCGCCCGCCACGGCGTCGCCGCGTCGGCGTCCAGGAGCCGCCGCTGCGACGGCGAGCGCGGGGCGGCCTCGGCCGCCTGCGGGCCTGCCTGGGCGGGGCGGTCGCGGGGAGGGTCGGCGGGTCGAGGCAGCCGTTTGGTCGGGCACGCTCCCCGCTCGCCAAGTCGGGCCTGCCCCCCTACAGGGGGATGGCGGACGAAAGAATTAAAACAATACCCCCCCAAAAAATATTCAAAACGTGCTCAGAAATGGCCAACAGATCGTCCCCAGACTATTTTTTAACTGTTTTTGAATACTCCTCCTGTAGAGGGACAGGCCCGACTTAACCCCATCGGCGGATTTTGAACGAAGGATGAAAGGTAGCCAGAACAAATCTTCAAACAGAATCGACAATACTGGAACAATCGTCCCCAGACTATTGTCTGACTCTTTCTTGATGTGCCTCCTGTAGAGGGACATGCCCGACTTGAAGACAGCGGCGGCCCTCCCTGGCGTGTTTCGCGACCTTCCTGGAGGGGCGGGGGCTCCCGGAGGCTTCTCGTCGCAACGGCTATAGATCCGCCTGGTCGACACGGGCAAGTGTGGACTCGTGGAGGGGTCCAGGAGCGCCCCTGTGGCGGCGCCGGAGGCGGGAGGAGGAGGAGGAGGAGGAGGAGGAGGAGGAGTAGGAGGAGGAGGAGAAGGAAGCAGTAGGAGGAGGAGGAGGAGGAGGAAGCAGGAGGAGGAGGAAGCAGGAGGAGGAGGAGGAAGCAGGAGGAGGAGGAGGAGGAGGAGGCGGCGCCGCAGGTGCGGGCCGCGGGGATGTCCAGCGCGGACACCAGAAATCCGTTCAGACCGCCGACACTGCACGAGAGGCCTTCCAGAGTAGGCCCGGGCGGGTAGGCTCGGGGGATTGCGCCGCATCGCCGTTGCATCGGCGATGGTTCGGCGATGGTTCGTCGTCGTCGGCGATGCGTCGGCGACGTCGACGCGGAGAGAATCGGGCTCCACATCGAGCCGCATCGCTGATGCATCGGCGAAACATCGGCGATGCGTTGGCGATGCGGCGTGATCGTCCGGCCCCATCTGCTCGGACCCCATGTGGGAGGCCTAGATGTATTCTTCTGCAGTTGCTTCTTGGCAGGCCCCAACAAACACTTGGCGAAGGGCTCAACCACGTGCAGTTGTGAGTACAGTCGTTGTGGGTATTGCTTTCGGCGGACCTCCTCATGGGGCCACGAAGCGTGTGGAGGGCGTGCCAACATGGGGCAGGGTCGCCATGCGGGCGCTGCCACTGGGGTCTGATGTAGAGCCCCTCATGGGGCCAGAAAACTTGTAAGAGTGGTGTGCCGAGATGGGGTGGGTACGCCATGCGGACTGTGCCACCGGGGCGTTCAGCGAAGCTCCCTATGGGGCCACGAAGCGGGTGAGGGGTGTGCCGAATCGGGTGCTGGTACGCCATGCGGACTGTACCACTGGGGCTTTTGGGCCATGAAGCGTGTGAGGGGTGTGCCGAATCGGGTGCGGGTACGCCATGCGGACTGTGCCGCTGACGCCTTCGGCGGAGCTCCCTATGGGGCCACGAAACATGTGAGGGGTGTGCCGAATCAGATGCGAGTGCGTCATGCGGACTGTGCCACTTGGGCCTTCGGTGAAGCTTCTATGGGTCATGAAACGTTTGAGGGTCTACCGACTCGGGTGCGGGTGCGCCATGCGGACTGTGCCACTATGGGGCCACGAGAGGGGTGTGCCGAATCGTTTGTGGGTACGCCATGCGGACTGTGCCGCTGGGGCTTTCGGTGGAGGTCCCCATGGGGCCACGAAGCGGGTGAGGGTTGTGCCAAATCGGGTGCGGGTACGCCATGCGGACTGGGCCACCGGGTCCTTGGGCGGAGCTCCCTATGGGGCCAGGAAACGTTTGGGGGTCCGCCGAATCGGGTGCGGGTGCGCCATGCGGACTGTATCTCCGGGGCCTTCGGTGAAGCTCCCTATGAGTCCACGAAACGGGTGAGGTGTGTGCGGAATCGGGTGGGGTGCGCCATGTGGACTGTGCCACTTGGGCCTTCTGTGGAACTCCCTATGGGGCCACGAAACATGCGAGGGTGTGCCGAATCGGATGCGGGTACGCCATGCGGACTGTGCCGCTGGGGCTTTCGGTGGAGCTTCCTATGGGGCCAGTAAAGCGGGTGAGGGGTGTGCCAAATCGGGTGCGGGTACGCCATGCGGACTGTGCCGCTGGGGCTTTCGGTGGAGCTCGTGATGGTGATGGTCGATGGTGATGATGTTGCTGCTGGTCGCGGTGATGATGGTGATGGTGGTTATGTTGTTGGTGGTAATGGTGATGATGATGGTGGTTGTGATGGTAAGCGAGGGGATGACGATGATGATGATGATGATGATGATGATGGTGGTGGTGGTGGCGGTTGTGAAGATAGTGATGGTGATGACAACGGCAATGGTGGTGATGATGATGGTGACGGTGATGATGATGATGCAGATGATGATGATGATGATGATGATGATGATGATGATGATGATGATGATGATGACGTTGCTGCTACTGATGGTGCTGATGATGATGATGATGATGCTGATGATGATGATACTACTACTACTACTACTACTGCTGCTACTGCTGCTGCTGCTGATGATGATGATGATGATGATGATGATGATGGGAGGAGGAGGAGGGACGGGGAGGAGGAAGGAGGAACGCGGAGAGCTGCCTCTTCAAAACGAAGCGACAACCCACCACCGCAGGATGGTGGGATAGAACTCGGCGATGCCCGGCGGGTTCCAGAAGCTGCGAGGGTGCATGGAGACCTATCTGGGAACAGCGTGGCTTTCCCGACGCGTGGCATGTGAACGGGGGGGCGGCTCTTGACCCTCTGGGGGTGCAGCTCAGGCCCACCAGCGCTTGATGGCGTGTCCCTGCCGACGGCCCAGGTTCGATCTCCCCCTCGCGCCGCGGCCGCTGTGACCCTGCGTGGCCCCTCTCATGTCGGGAGTGGCAAACGGCATGCTTCCTGCTCGAGCCCACATCTCTCCTGCAGCGGGTGCCGCCCGGCAGCCCCGTCGCGACAACACTGGCGGCGAGCGCGGGGGGGGGCTGCAAATCTGGCGACGCGTGACAAGCTTTTGGCCTGACCGTCTCGTCTGGGCTGTCCCATCACTGTGGGGCTCTTCAATGCCACGGGATGCATGCCGCGGGTCCCTGTCCCACCAGATCGGGTGCGCTCGTCGTCGGGATCGGGGATCTGTGCCTCGCTGCGCCTGGCGCGTAGAGTATCCTTCTGGTCGTCGTCGTCGCCATCGTCACGAAGCCTGGCAGAGGATCTATCTCGAGTATTGAGGAGCTCCGTCCAAACGTACGCATCATCGCCAGAAATATCACCAAACTCATCACCATCACCATCAGCATCACCACCTCAATTATCAACATGAGCACCATCATCATCACCATCACCGCCATCACCAACATACCACCACCACCACGACCACCACCACCACCATCATCATCATCACCATCATCATCATCATCATCATCATCATCATCATCACCATCACCATCACCATCACCATCACCACCACCACCACCACCACCACCATCATCATCATCATCATCATCATCATCATCATCATCATCATCATCATCTGCATCATCATCATCGCCATCATCATCATCATCTGCATCATCATCAGCGTCAGCATGACCATCATCATCACCATCATTGCCGTTGTCATCACCATCACTATTATCACAACCACCACCATCATCATCATCGTCATCCCCTCCCTTACTATCACAACCATCATCATCATCATCACCATTACCACCACCAACATAACCACTATCACCATCATCACCGCGACCGGCAGCAACATCATCACCATCACGATGATCACCACCACCTTAATGGTCATCATAATGGTCGTAATCGTCATCGTCATCCTCACGATGACCACCATCACCATAACCTTAATCGTCACCATCATCATCCTCATCCACATACTCATTCTCTCATCGTCCTGACCATCCTCATTATTCTCACCCTCATCAGTTTCCTCCTCCTCCTCATTCTCCTCCTCATCGTCATCATCATCATCGTCATCATCATCATCGTCGCCATCACCATCAGTATTACCATCATCATCACCATCACCATCATCATCAGCATCCTCATCAGTATCATCAGCATTATCATCATTATCATCATCACCATCGTGATCGTAATCGTAATCGTAATCCTAATCGTAATCGTAATCACAATCGTCATCGTCATCGTCATCGTAATCGTAATCGTAATCGTAATCGTAATCGTAATCGTAATCACCATCACCATCACCATCACCATCACCATCACCACCACCATCACCATCATCATCATCACCATCATCATTATCATCATCATCATCATCATCATCATCAGCATCAGCATCAGCATCAGCATCAGCATCAGCATCATCATCATCATCATCATCATCATCATCATTATTATTATCATGGCCTCGGCAATTAGTTGGCGATTGGGGGTCGATGCATCCTCCCCCCCCTGGTCCTATCTATCCCCTGACGCTGCTCCCGTGGCTTTCGGGCCATCACTCGGGCATCTGGTGGCCCTTCAGGGACGATTCTGGCACAAACCTTGAGCCTCAAGCCCGAAATCATGGGTCGATGCATCTCCCCTGACCAGATCTGCCCCCCAACGCTGCCCCCGACGAGGCGAGCTGCCCGCCCCGCGCCCGTGGCGGGGGCCTCCGCGGCCTCCGCGGGCTCCCGCGCGTCCTCGAGCCGCCGCGCCGCGGCCTGGGTGTAGGTGGCCTTCAGGACCGCCTGTTTCCGGGGGCGGGGGCGAGACCTGCAGCAGTCAACCCGCACAGTGAGGATGGGCAACCTTCCCGAGGGTACCCTTGCATCCCTGCCTCCTCGGTCCATCCTCGGCCACTTCCGTCGGCCACGCCCCGGTCGGGAAGCTTCGATGTGGCCTTCCAAGGCCCTTGCATCCTTATCGTGCGTCCTTATTGTACAGGTTGACTGTACTGGCTACTGGAGGAGGCGTGCGTTGGCTCTTTGCATCTGGAGGAGGCGTGCGTACAGGTTGACTGTACTGGCTACTGGAGGAGGCGTGCGTACTGGCCTTCCAAGACCCTTGCATCCTTATCGCACATCCTTACTATACGGGCCGACTGCACGGACGGGAATTTTTACACAGCGTGTCGCTACGGCGGTCCCCGCGGCACGCTGTGCCCTGCCAGTGGACAGCGCGTCGCTACCCTCCCCAAGGCATACAGGTAAGGCTGGGACAACCCGAGACCTGGGTCGCGTGCCGCGGCGAAGCGCGGTGGGCCAAAACCGGCAACGCGACGCGCTGAGCCAAACGTCCCGACCGTAAATTCGCGCCTCGCGCCCCGCGAGGCGCGACGCGCAGCCATGTTCGCGCCCTCGCGCCGCCGCGCCTGGAGCGGGGCGCTTCTGCAACACTCTGCGGCGCAAGCGCGGCGACGTGCGAGGCACGAATAGCTCTGCGCCCTTGGGGGTGACCTGGGGAGGCGGCCTGACCGATGCAAAGCAGACCTGTGCCGTGACGACCTCGGCGCCGGCTTCGGGGCTTTTCTGCTCTCCTCGTCGGCCCTTGGAGCTCCCTTCGCCCTGGGACGCTCTCCAGCAGCTGCGCCTCGCCGAGGGCTGTCTGCGGGTGCCTGAATCGTCCTGAGCGGCCGCCAGAGGCTCGATTTGGTGACCCGATGACCACTCGGCACGCTGTCCTTGCCCAGGAAAGAGATCGAGGACCCCCAGGCCACCATGCCGAGGGGGGGTCGAGGGAGGCTCTCGTGACCTCTGCCCGACCGATCTCTGCCAGATTTGGTGCGGCGGGCTCGTGTCGTGACGTCGTCGGCGTTGGTTTCTGACACCGTGCGGATCGTTCCACCAACGGGGAATCACCACGAGGCACGCACAGGGCAACCCATGGGAAAATCAACGGGACAGCCCCCGGATAACTAATCCACGGGGCAACCCGCGGGGCCACATCCAGCAGGGCAACGCACAGGACAACCACGGGACAACCCACGGGAGAACCGCGGGATAACCGCGAGATCACCACGAGACAGCGATCGCGGCTCGCCGACAGCGCTGTATGATCATTCGATGTCGGCCTGGTCTGCGCCAGTGGCGGCGCTCAGCCTCGGACGGCCGCGCTGGGGTCGCCGCCACATCGACACGGCGCGAGCCTTGCGTTCACACGCACACGCACACACACGCACAACGCAGGCACGCACGCAGGCACGCACGCAGGCACGCACGCACGCACGCACGCACGCACGCACACACACACACAAACACGCACGCACGCAGACACGCTCATGCACGCACAAGCACGGGCACACGCAAGCGCACGCGCACGCGCACGCGCACACGCACACGCACACGCACATACACACACCGGCGCACACACATACACATACACACACATACACACCGGCGAACACACACACACACACCCAGACACACACACACATACCCACGCACACCCACGCACGAACGTACGCAACGCACACGCACGCTCACGCACGCACGCACGCACGCACGCACGCACGCACGCACACACACACACACACACGCGCGCGCACGCGCGAGCGCACGCGCACGCGCGCGCGCACGCGCACGCGCACGCGCACACGCGCACGCGCACGCGCACGCGCACACGCGCACGCGCACACACACTCACACAAACACGCACACACACACACACACTGGCGCGCAAACACATACACACACACCGGCGCACACACACACACACACCCACGCACACCCATGCACGCACGAACGCAACGCACACCCACGCACGTACGCACGTACGCACGCACGCACACACGCACGCACGCATGCACGCACGCACGCACGCACTTACGCACGCACGCACGCACGCACGCACACACGCACGCACGCACGCACGCACGCACGACACGCCACGCACGACACACCACACACAAAACACTTGCGCGCGCGCACGCGCATCGCACGGGCATGCGCATGCGCACGGCGCACGCAAAACGCAAACCGCACCCCGCCGCGCACGCGCACGCACGCACGCGCACGCGTACGCGCACGCGCCACGGCGCACGCCACGCGCCCGCCACGCGCACACACGCTGGCCACACACCCCCGCGACGCACGCACGCCCCCCCACGCCCACGCCCACGCCCCACCCCACGGCCGACGCCCACGCCACGCGCCACGCACGCCCACACCCGCACACGCACGCGCACGCGCACGCGCACGCGGCGCACGCGCACACGCACACGCACACGCAGCACGCGCACGCGCACGCGCACGCGACGCGCACGCCGCGCGCGCAACGCAAACGCGCACGCGCAGCACGCACACGCGAGCGCACGCGCGCACGCACACGCCCACGCTCACCACCACGCAAGACGCGCACGCGCACGCGCACGCACGCACCGCACCACACGCACACGCACACGCACACGCACACGCACACGTACACGCACGCACGCACGCACACGCGCACGCGCACGCGCCCACATACGCACACGCACACGCACACGCACACGCACATGTACACGCACGCGCACGCGCACGCGCGCACGCGCACGCGCGCACGCGCACGCGCACGCGCACGCGCACGCGCACGCGCACGCGCACTTGCACGCGCACGCTCACGCGCACGCTCACCGCTCACGCGCACGCGCACGCGCACGCGCACGCGCACGCTCACGCGCAAGCTCACGCGCACGCGGACGCACGCGCACGCGCGCACGCACGCGCGTACACGCACGCACGCACGGACGAACGCACGCACGCACGCACCAACGCACGCTCACGCTCACGCTCACGCTCACGCTTTCGCACGCACGCATGCTCACGCACGCACGTACGCACGCTCACGCACGCTCACGCATGCTCACGCACTTTCACGCACGCTGACGCACGCACGCACGCAAGCGCACGCACGCTCACGCACGCTCACGCACGCTCACGCACGCTCACGCACGCACGCACGCGCACGCACGTTCACGCACACGAACGCGCACGAACGCGCACGCACGCACGCACGCACGCACACACACACACACACATTTACACATTCACACACACACACACACACGCATTCACACACACACACACACACGCATAATTACACTCACACTCACACACACATTCACACACACATTCGCTTACACACGCATACATACATTCACACATTCACACATTCACACACAAGCAAACACACACACGTCCTGATTGCAGAACTTAGGAAGATGGCGGAGATGGGCGGAAACATGAGTTGAAGGGAGACGCAACGTGTGACACCTCTCGAAGTTATGCGTGAAGCCCCCCCCCCCCTCCCCACACCTCTCTTCGTTCCCCCTGTGATCCGAGGAAGCTACCTCCCTCTCCCTTGCCAAAAGGGATGCCTCCCGAACCTGGCCCGGGAAAACATCCTCCATTTGGAAATCCCTTCGTGACCTCCCTCATCCTCCCTCCTCGTCTTCTCCGTCGGACGAACACCATCCACCCATTAGCAAAGGACAGACTAACAATCAACATGCTTGACGCAACTGCGGAATTTCACCATCACGGAAGATCTGTGTACAATGCCTGGTGTGAGCCGAGGAGGAAGATGACGAGGATGACCAAGCCAGCCTGTGGGCGTGAGGCTGGCTGATATGGCCTAAGTAGGCTCACCTTCACGAACCCTTCTTCGAGCGAATTCCAGACATTTTCCCGTTCTGCATTATGTAATGCCGAATGTCGTCGTCCCACCGTGATTGTAGCCTGCAGGTCGAACGACGGACAGTCTCGCGGGTTAGCGCCGGCTCACAATTCATAACCTGTGAAGCACAGCGGGGTCTGTCCATATTTGCCAAGGTGGGCCCGAGTGAGCGCGGAGGAGGAGGAGGAGGAGGAGGAGGAAGAGGAGGAGGAGGCCCCAGTCGCCTGAGACATCCGCCGCGGCGCCGCCGCCTGCGAGGTCCCCTGCGCTGGCGGCGTGCTGCTCGCCTGCACGGCGGCGGTCGCCTGCCGGGCCGGCCGCGGACGATGGTGCTTTTGGTTGGAACGCCGCCCCTCGTCCATCTTCCCTCCCGCCTCCTCCTCCTCCTCCTCCTCCTCTTCCTCCTCCTCCTCCTCCTCCTCCTCCTCTTCCTCGTCCTCCTCCTCCCTCCTCCTGATTTCACTCCTCTCTCCTCCTCCTCCTCCTCCTTTCCCTCCTTTCCCTCCTTTTCCCTCCTCAACCTACTTCCTCCTTCCTCCTCACTCCTTCCTCCTCCTCCTCCTCCTTTTCCTCCTCCCTCATCCTCCTCCTCCTCCTTCCCCCCTCCTCTCGTCCTCTGTCTCCTCCTCTCCTCCTCCTCCCCTCCTCCTTTCCTCCTCCTGCTCCTACCTTTCCCTCCTTCCTCCTCTCCTTCTTCCCTCCTCCTCCTCGTCCTCCTGTCCCTCCTCCCTCCTCCTCCGCCTCCTCCTCCTCCTCCCTCCTCCTCCTCCTCTCCTCCTCCTCCACAATTACTCAATACGTAAATACTACTCTCCCTCTTCCCCTGATGACGGTTTGAAAGTGCTCGACCCCCCCCCCCGCGTACTGTTTTTTACACACAGGTTTCCCCGGAATTGGGTTTTCGCCTGCAGGTTTTTCAAAATGCTGCTCTCGCTGAGGCGCTGGCCTCATGTTCGGGCCCCGCTCGTTCCGAATCGTGCTCCCGCTGCAGCGCTGGCCTCATTTCCGTGCTTCCGCTCGTTCCGAATCGTGCTCCCGCTGCAGCGCTGGCATCATTTCCGCGCTTCCGCTCGTTTCGACTCGTGCTCCCGCTGCAGCGCTGGCGTCATTTCCCGTGCCATGCCACGGCATGCAATGCAATGCTAGGTTGATGCTACGCTTTGCGGTGCTCTTCTACGCCATGCCATGCCGTGCTCTACAATGCATCGCGTACCCTTTCGGGATCATTGCCCTGCTCGACATCCGACTGTGCGAGTAGAGAGGGGAGATGCGCCATGGTAAGGGATGGGAGGGAGGGGTAGGATGTCAGATATGACGCGAGCGCACCTAGCTTGTCCTCCTCCTCCTCCTCCTCCTTTCCCTCCCCCTCCTTTTTCCTCCTCGTCCTCCTTTCCCTCCTTTCCCTCCTCCTCCTTTTCTTCCTCCTCCTCTTCATCATCCACCTTTCCATCCTCCTTCTCCTCCTCCTCCTCCTTCTCCCTCTCCTCCTCCTGCTCCTGCTCCTGCTCCTGCTCCTGCTCCTGCTCCTGCTCCTGCTCCTCCTCCTCCTGCTTCTCCTCCTCCTCCTCCTCTCCTTTCCCTCTCCCTCCTTTCCCTCCTCTTCCGCCTCCTTTCCCTCCTTTCCCTCCTTTTCCTCCTTTCACTCGTTCCCCTCCTCCTTCCTCACTCGTTCTCCTCATCCCTTCCCCCTCCTCCTCCTCCTCCTCTCCTCCTCCTCCTTTCCCTCCTTCCCCTCCTCGTCCTCTGCCTTCCTCCTCCTCCCCTCCGCCTCCTCCTCCTATCCTCCGCCTCCTCTTTCTCCCTCTCCCTACTGCTCCTCCTCCTCCTCCTCCTCCTCCTCCTCCATATGTTCCTGCCCTCCCGCCTCGCTCCTCCTCCCCTCCTCCTCCCTCCTCCTCCCCTCCTCCTCCTCTCCCCTTCCCCGCCCTCCCTCCTCCTCCTCCTCCTCCTCCTCTCCTCCTCCTCCTCCTCCTCCTCCTCCTCCCCCTTCCCCCTCCTCCTTTCCCTCCTCCTCCTCCCTCCCTCCTCCTCCTCCTTCCCTCCTACTCCTCCTACTCCTACTCTCCTCCTCCTCCTCCTCCCTCCTCCTTCTCATTTCCCTCCCCCTCCTTTTCCTCCTCCTCTGCCTCCTCTGCCTCCTCCTCCTCCTCCTACCTCCTCCTCCTCCTCCTCTTCCTCCTCCTCCTCCTCCGCCTCCACCTCCTCCTCCTCCTCCTTTCCCTCCTCCTCCTACTCCTCCTCCTCCTCCTCCTCCTCCTCCTCCTCCTCCTCCTCCTCCTCCTCCTCCTCCTCCTCCTCCCCCTCCCCCTCCCCTTCCTTTCGGCGTTCGCCGCACTGCCGCGCCGTCGCTCGGGACGCTGGAGCCAGGGCGCCGCGAGCTCGCGCGCGCTGGACGGGGACATCCGCCGTGCATCGAAGCCGATCTCTCCAGACGGCGGCACGAGCAACAGAAACTGCACTGCAGCACTGCCAGCGCAAGCCCGGGCAAATCCTCCTCCTCCTCTCCTCCTCCTCCTCCTTCCTCTCACTCCTCCTCCTCCTCCTCCTCCTCCTCCTCCTCCTCCTCCTCCTCCTCCTCCTCCTCTCCTCCTCCTTCCTCTCTCCCTCCTCCTCCTCCTCCTCCTTCTCCTCCTCCTCCTTCTCCTCCTCCTCCTTTCCCTCCTCTCCATCCTTTCCCTCCTCTTCCTCCTCCTCCTCCTCCCCCTCCTCAGCATTGCCAGCGCAAGCCCGGGCAACTAGGCCCTGAAAGCCTGCAGAAGCCCCCCCCCAGGAATCCTGGGCGAAGATCCGAATCCTGCAGCGCAGCCAAAAAGAAAAAGGCACTGGACGACCAAGCATGACTTTGCAAGGGAAGATTGTCGTTGCCCCGGCTTGTCGTTGCCCCGGCTTGCGACCTGACGGAGGACGGCCGAAGGCCGCCGGAGGCGGCGCCGGCCTCCGCGAAGTGCCTGCGGATGACCAGGGCCTCCAGGGCCGTGGCGGGGCCGACGATGCGCCCTGGGCACCGCGCGCGGGGCGCCGTCGTCGTCGACACCTTCGCGCCTGGGCACCGTGGGGAGGGGCCGCCGCTCTGCCCCAGAACGCCGCGCGCAGTGGTCTTCGAGCCCCCGCGGGTGGCCCGGCAGAAGCACCGACGCTCGGAGGTCCGCGCGGATGCCCCGGGTCGGCGCCGCACCCCCACCCCGCCCCTGGCGGCGCTCCCCGCGCCGCCCCTGGCGGCGCCCCGTGTGCCAGGGAGGGGGGGGGCGGGTCCGGGCGCCGGCCCCCGGGAACCCGACCGGAACTCCCACGAGAAGATCTGGCGCAGCGAAAAAAATGCGGCGGCGTGAAAAACCCGCCGATTCGGCGTGTGAGTTTCTGAGAGCGTGGGCTTGAGCTCGCTCAAGTTTCGCTCTGCAAGGGGGGGGGCGCAAACGACGAAAGAATTGACATGCCAGGTCTCCCCAATGCCGGGACCGCGCCCCCCCCCTGCACCTTCCTCTCCAGCGCCCCCCCCCTCTCTTCCTGCACATCCCCCTTCCCCTGCAATCTCCTCTCCGCCCCCCCCCCCTCTTCCTGCCCCCCCCCCCCGCCTCTGCACCGTCTCTTTCCCCCAGCCCCCCCCCCCCTCTGCACTGCGCCCTGGACAAGAGAGAGGAGGGGGAGGGGAGGGGAAAGGAGAGAGGGGGGGGAGGACAGGAGAGAGGGGGGGGACAGGAGAGAGAAAGGGGGGGGGACAGGAGAGAGGAGGGGGGCAAGCTATGTGCTATCTGACATCCTACCCCTCCCTCCCATCCCTTATCATGGCGTAGATCCCCTCTCTACTCGCACAGTCGGATGTCGAGCAAGGCAGTGATCCCCAAAAGGTACGCGATGCATTGTAGAGCACGGCGTGGCATGGCGTAGAAAAGCACCGCAAAGCGTAGTATGCCACAGCATGGCGTGGCGTGGCGTGATGAAGAATTGCATCGCAAAACTTTGCAACGCAAAGCATGGCATCGCACACCGCCCCGGACATAACGTTGCATAGCGTGGCGTTGAAGATCAAAGCGTAGCATGGCATAACATGGCGTGGCACTTGAGCACTGGATATGACAGCTGCAGCTGAAGGCATGGCGTCGCGCAGCGGAACGCAACCTAACATTGCATTGCATGCCGTGGCATGGCACGGGAAATGGCGCCAGCGCTGCAGCGGGAACACGATTCGGAACGAGTGGGAGCACGGAAATGAGGCCTGCAGCGGGAGCACGAGTCGGAACGAGCAGAAGCACGGAAATGAGGCCAGCGCTGCAGCGGGAGCACGATTCGGAACGAGCGGAAGCCCGAAAATGAAGCCCGCGCCTCAGCGAGAGCATCATTTTGAAAAACCCAAGCGGAAACCCAACTCCGGGAAATCCTGTGTGTAAAACAAACAGTACGCGGAGGGGTAGGGGACTCAACGCCGTCTCCCACTCCAAGCTGGTCTGGAGCGACTTCGTGCAGAACGCCATCACGGCGCACGCCGCGTCCCTGGGCCTGACGTTCATCACGTGCAGCGACGACACCCGCGGCGTGCAGCTTGAGGTGCCCCCCACCGACGACCACCGCGTCCTGCAGGTGACGCGACAGGTCCGCGGCGCTAACTCCCAGCGCTTCTGGACCACCCACAAGAAGGCAGCCCACGCGCCGCGCGATCGCGCGCATCCGCTGCCTCCAGCAGGTACGACAGACCCGGCTCGACAGCGAGGAGGTTGACAACGTCGACGTCGACGCGTCGTCGCACCACTTCTTCGCGAAATGGCACTCCAAACTGGACGACAACGACAAGAAGCTGCTCACCATCTACCGCAGTGGTGCAGCGTCTACATCCACACGCCGGCAGTGCCCGCACCCGTGCAAGTACTGCAACCACGCCCAGCCGTCTTTCCGGCACTTGCGGCAGGAATGCCCCGAGTTTGCACACGAATGCCGTCATTTGGAGGGGAAGTTCTCCCTCCCATACTATTTCTGGGCGTCGCAGCCCCGAGTGACGAGCAAATCCGGATGGATCACCTACCAGGGGTGTCCGTCGCCTATGACGCGTGCGAGGTACTTGGCGGCGACGTGCGAGCTGGCGCTCTGCATCCTTCGTCGGGGACTTCGCGGTGAAGCAGGCATCCTCCACCGGCTCGACATCGAGGGGTAGCCTGAGGATCTTCCAGTGGGTCTACTCCAGAGCTAGGGTGTCCCACCAACCAGTGTGTGTGGGGGGGGAGGGGGGGGGGACAGGAGAGAGGGGGGGGGGGAAAGAGGGGGGTGGACAGGAGAGAGGGCGGGGGAGGGACAGGAGAGAGGGGGGAGGGGGAGGGGAAAGGAGAGAGGGGGGCGGAGGGGACAGTAGAAAGCAGAGAGGAGGGGGGTTGGGGGGGGGCCCGGGATCATCATCATCTCCATCGCCATCGTCACATCACCATCATCATCATCATCATCATCATCATCATCATCATCATCATCATCATCATCATCATCATCATCATCATCATCACCATCACCATCACCATCACCATCACCATCATCATCATCACCATCACCATCACCATCACCATCACCATCATCATCACCATCATCATCATCATCATCATCATCATCATCATCATCATCATCATCATCATCATCATCATCATCATCATCTGGAGCGCCCCGGATCGGCGGCACTGGCCAGAGGCCACTACAATCAAGACCAACGCCCCGGACTCCATCTTGCTGCGCCGCTGTCGATCCAAATCGATATGTGAGGGCCCTGGGGTCCGAAACCAGGCGAAGGTGTTCAGCTCGAACAATTGAAGACGCCAAGATCTCAGGGTCGCCGTCGTCGTCGCCGTCGTCGACCGCCTCCGTCGCCGTCATGGCCTGCGGCGGCCGCATCCCAGACATCCACTGGCTCGAGCAACATCGCGGCGGCCGGTGTTCCTAGACTCGGGAACCGGTTTCGAGGAGGAGGAGGAGGAGGAGGAGGAGGGAAGAGGAGGAGGACGAGGGAAGAGGAGGGAGGAGGAGAAGGAGGAGGAGGAGGAGGAGCCGGGAACTGGTCTTCGGGAACCGGTGTCGAGGCCCGGGACCATCAAGAAATGGCTCGGGGTGGAGAGCGGGCCCCGGGGAAGCGGTCGGAGGTCGGGGGCCCATGCCTCGAGCAAAGATCGAGGCGCCGGATGTCTGGGATGGAGAGAACGCTGTGTCAGGAACGGAGGGGCGTTTGTGGCCATGGCGAGCCTCGGCCACGAATAGGGTCCCCGACCTAGCTCAAGGAACGGCCCGAAAACCAGAGCACGTTCGGCGTCGTTGCTTCAGCGTCTTAACCGTAGGATGACGCCTGTGGAAAAAACACCGGTTGGGACGATTGGGCACAAAGCTTCCTGACGCTGGAGAAGAAGACCTCGGAGGGGACGACTCAAAGAATTCTAGTGATGACACCGACGCCCACGAGCAGGCCAGGCCCCAACTCTGTGATCAGATCCTAGGGCGCTGCCGCGTGACGCCGCGACGACCCTCCCCCACGGGCAGCTTAGCTCTTCGGCGCCATCCTGCAGTGGGGAAGCGGCCGCGGAGAACCCCCCGCAAGAAGCCCCGCCCTGAACATCCGAAAAGGTTCTCGCCCAAGGTCTGGGTTTCTCAGCCACGGGCTCAAATCGGAGAAACCCCGGGTACCCTGGCCCGACAAGTTTCTCTCCAAGGCGTGGCGGGGAAGTGCGCGAGGCGCGATTGGCCGAGAATCCCAGGGCACCCTCGGCGCAGCAGTCTCTCAACGATCGGGGGAGGCACATCGCCGGGAATGCAGACACCCAAGGAACCCTGGTGAAAACCACACGCTTGTTTGGTGCGCTTGCGTCCCCACTGTTTTGAGTGGAGGAGAGCACTCATGGCGAACGGACAGGGCAGCGCCTCAACTGACGAGGGCAGGTGAGGGCGTCCAGAGGACCCCCTTGAGGCCCCAGCAAAGCGGGGCTGGAGGCGTCCCGGAAAACCAGATCTTTGATCCTCGCATCTCGCTTCTCCTCCTGGCCTGAATCCGCCCCTCGCGGGGGTCCATCATGTGAAATGCAGTGCAAGATTCGTTTTTGGTGGTCACGTGGCCGGAAAAACAAGCCTCAAGAGGCCGATCGCAGCGAAAAGCCTCTTTGAACCCCTTTGTTCCTTGAACATCGCTACTCGATCTCGCTCCTCGATCTCGACCCACATCGGTCCCTGGACCCCTCACGGGTCCGTCCGGGCTAGTTATTCGAGCTGCGCCCAGCGGTGGCAAAAAGAGCCGCCAGAAACGTCCAAAAGCCTCGATCCACGAAACTCTCTCCTGATTCCGAGATGCTTGAACAACAAACGCGGGGCAACCAGCTGGAGGTCTCGACCACTTCCCTAGGGTCGGGGGATCATCCTGAATCATAACTGATCGCCCCAGGGCCTAGTGAGGGGTAAGGGGCCCAAGAGGGCGACAATTGCACACAACATTCAATCGAGTATTTTTCGCGACGCGACCCCCGTACCCCAAGGCGAACCACGTTCAAAACCTTGCAGTTTCGAGATTCGACACTCGAAATTCGCCCTCCATCCTCGAGACCCCAGCCGCTTCACGCCGATAAACATCGAATCGGCCGGGGCCGTCGTAGAGCGCAAGATGTATCAAAACGCTAGTCAGGATGGAACAAGTGGTACGCGCGCCATGGCTCTTGCACAAGAAGAAGGGGGAGGGGGAGGAGGCGGAGGGGGCGCGCTGGCTGGTGAATGGGGTGATCGAGGGGGCATTCTGGATGGGGGTATCGGGGCGGAGGGGGCGCGTTAGCCGGTGGATGGGGGGATGCAGAGGGGGCGCTCGGGGTGGGGGGTCGGCGCCGTGCCGAGATGAATGGGTCAGGGCGGAAGGGGCGGTGCCGCGCCAAAACACAGGGGTCGGGGCGGATGGGGCGCGCTAGCTGAAGGGTGTGGGGGATGCGGAGGGGGCGCTCGCGGAGGGGGCGGTGCCGCGCCGAAATAAAGGAGTCGGGTCGGAGGGGTGTGCCGCGCCGAAATAAAAGGGGTCGGGGCGGAGGGGCGCGCTGGCTTGTGAGTGGGTGGGTGGGTGTGGGGGGGGCGTAGTAAAAGGGGTCGGGGCGGAGGGGCGCGCTGGCTGGTGGGTGGGGGGCTTCGGAGGGGGCAAGCAAGGCGCGCGGGGAGGGAGTGGGGGCCGTGCCGAAATAAACGGGTCGCGGGGCCGAGGGGGCGCCCTGGCTGGTAAGTGGGGGGACGCGGGGGTGTGTGCCGTGCCGAAATCAAACGGTGTCGGAGTGGAGGGGCGCGCTGGCTGGTGGGTGGGGGGATGCGGAAGGGGTGTGCCGTGCCGAAGTAAAAGGGTCGGGGCGGAGGGGTGCGCCGTGTGGCAATACATGGGTCGGGGCGGAGAGGCGCGCTGGCTGGTGGGTGGGGGGATGCGGAGGGGGTGTGCCGTGCCGAAATTATCCCAGTGCGACCCTACCTAGGAGTTGGAACCCCTAGGAAAGCAGCATTAGTAGTAACAGTAACGCTAAGCTAAAGGTAAGCTAAAGCTAAGCTAAAGCTAAGCTAAAGCTAAGCTAAAGTTAAGCCACAACTAAGCTAAAACTAAGCTAACTCTAAACTAAAGCTAAGCTAAAGCTAAGCTAAATCTAAGCTAAAGCTAAGCTAAAGCTAAGCTAAAGCTAAGCTAAAGCTAAGCTAAAGCTAAGCTAAAGCTAAGCAAACACTGAGCAAAAACTGAGCAACAGCTAAGCTAAAGTTAAGCTACAGCTAAGCTAAATCTAAGCTAAAGCTAAGCTAAAGCTAAGCTAAAGCTAAGCTAAAGCTAGGCTAAAGCTAAGCTAAAGCTAAGCTACAGCTAAGCTCAAGCTAAGCTCAAGCTAAGCTAAAGCTAAGCTAAAGCTAAGCTAAACGCTAAACGAAAAGTTAAGCGAAACGCTAAGCGAAACGCTAAGCTAAAGCTAAGCTACAGCTAAGCTACAGCTAAGCTAAAGCTAAGCTAAAGCTAAGCTAAAGCTAAAGCTAAAACTAACTTAAGCTAACTTAAGCTCCCAGGGGACTGGGGGGAACCGCGGGGCGGGGACTGGGGGAACCGCCCGGGGCGATTTCCACTGCCCGGCCCCTTTAAGCTAAGAGAGTAAGAACCCTTCTAGGCAGAGCCTAGGTAGGGAATAAAAAGGGTCGGGCAGAGGGGTGTGCCGTGCCGAAGTAAAAAGGTTTCGGGGCGGAGGGATGCGCTGGCTGGTGAATGGGGGGGATGCGGAGGAGGTGCGCCGTGCTGACAGAAAGGGGTCGGGGCGGAGGGGTGTGCCGTGCCGAACTTCAGGGGTCGGGGCGGAGGGGCGCGCTAGCTGGTGGGCGGGGGGGTGATGCGGAGGGGGTGCGCCGTGCCGACATAAAGGGTCGGGGCGGAGGGTGTGCTGTGCCGAAATAAAAGGGGTCGGGGCGGAGGGGGCGCGCGGGGGTGGGGGGCGTGCCGAAATAAAAGGGTCGGGGCGGAAAGGGTACGCTGGCTGGTGGGTGGGGAGATGCAGGAGGGGAGTGCCGTGCCGAAATAAAGGGGTCGGGGCGGGGGGCGCGCTGGCTGGTGGGTGGGGGGATGCGGCGGAGGGGGTGTGCCGTGCCGAAATAAAATGGTCGGGGCGGGGGGGGGGGCCGTGCCGAAATAAAGGGGTAGACGGAGACGCGCTAGCTGGCGGGGGGGGGGGGGGGATGCGGATGTGGTGTGCCGTGCCGAAACAAAGGGGTCGGGGCGAAAATGTGTGCCGCGCCGAAATACGCGGGGGGGGGAGCGTGCCGAAATAAACGGGTCGGGGCGGAGGGGGCGCGCTGGCTGGTGGGTGGGGGATGCGGGGGGGGTGCCGTGTGGAAATTAATTTGTCGGGGGGCGGAGGGGCGCGCTGGCTGGTGGGTGGGGGGATGTGGAAGGGGGGTGTGCCGTACCGAAATAAAAGGGGTCGGGGCGGAGGGGTGTGCCGTGCCGAACTTCAGGGGTCGGGCGGAGGGACGCGCTGGCTGGTGGGTGGGGGGGGGGGATGCGGAGGGGGTGCCGTGCCGAAATAAAAGGGGTCGGGGCGGAGTGTGCCGTGCCGAAATAAAAGGGGTCGGGGCGGAGGGGCGCGCTGGCTGGTGGGTGGGGGGATGCGGAGGGGGTGTGGAGGGGGTGTGCCGTGCCGAAATATAAAGGGGTGGAGGGGTGTGCTGTGCCGAAATAAAGGGATCGTGGCGGAGGGGCGCGCTGGCTGGTGGAATGTGTGGGTGATGGAGGGGGTGCCGTGCCGAAATAAAGTGGTCGGAGCTCTAGACACCCTGTGCAAGAGAATAAACAATCCCCTGGAAGGGGTCGAGACTTCCGAGGGTCCACATTGCAAAACAATCGCGACATCGGGGTCGACTCTTGGTTTCCCTTCCCTGCTCCTCGTCCTCTCCAGAGCTTCGATCGTCGACCCTTTTTCCTGACCAGGCTGCTGGGCGCTACGTTCCTTAGCGTCAGGATCGTCGACCCTCCTCCTCCTCCTCCTGCTGGTCCTCCCCCTTCTGTGACGTAGCTGACTACGTCAGAACCCAAACTGCTGGAAGACCCTTGCTCTGACGCAGGAGAGGAGGAGGAGGAGGAGGAGCTCAGAGACTCGAAGGCCCTCCTCGGTACTGGTCCCAGGTCCCACTCCTTCCAGCTCCTCCTCCTCCCTGGCCATCCTGGATCCTCTAAAGGAGCCCCGGAATGACGAAACATATGCTTTCGAAGGCCCGCGCGCATCTCTCGGGTCGGCGCTGATCCCCCCTCCATTTGACGCGCGAAGCGCGCCAGGGAGGGCGGTGGAGGCGTCGCCAGGGGGGCTTAAGCGTCGACATAAAAGACCCGCTCGGACCTCAGAAACCATATGTACGTTCTATTGTTGCTCGAGCTCCTCGTCCTCCTCGTCCTCGTCCTCCTCCTCTTCTTCCTCCTCCTCACCGATGCTTGATGCTGAAGGCAAGTCTGTTCGAAGAACGTGTTCCTTCTCCCCACCATCCTAGCCTTTCCCAATGAGGCAATGTGCTAACTAACTCTTGCAAGGTAAACGTCGGAAACAACTAAATAATTACGGTAAGCCTGAACGAAGGAGGCAAGAAGGAAACGACAACACGACGGAACGACGGAGGGACAACCTGCGACACAACCATTGGCGATTCAACCAACCTTCTCCTCACCATCGCCCTCGTCTTCGTCCTGTTCCTCCTCATCCTCCTCGTCCTCCTCCTCCCCGAAGTCTCATCAGACATCCGATGCCTTGCTTTTTGTGCAATACCGGGCCCCTGGAGGTCCCGACCCTTTCCACTTTTGTTCTGCTTCGACCATTTTGGAATAACGCAAACCTGCATAAACATAATTTTTCGGAGGTCCGCGCGGGTTTGGTGGATGCTGGACCCCCTCCCTGGCGCGCGGAGCGCGCTGGAGGCGCCGCCAGGGGGGCCCGAACGCCGATCCAAGACATCCTCGCGGACCTCCGAACATTTTAAGTTTGTGCATCTTTGTCTTCTTCGACCTCCCTCCCCCTCCTCTTGGGTCCTTCGCCGGACGGTTTTGGGACCTCGGGGGTCCCAGTCGCTCGAGGCATCCTCGGAAAACGACTGAGAGATCTCCAAGCCGGGTGGTGATCCCGAATCCCCGCTGATGACTCACCAAACGAGGTGGTCACGGCGCCGTTTAGGAGGCCCCCGATCCTCCTCCTGGGAAAGATGATGGGCCTGTTTTCCACCACCACCACCATCATCAGTTGGAGGGGGAGGGGGTCCTCCTCCTCCTCCTCCTCCTCCTCCTCCTCGCCCTCCTCCTCCTCGCCCTCCTCCTCCTCCCCCCACCCAACTTATGGTGGTGGTGGTGGAAAACAGGCTCATCAAAAGAGCTGTGCGCAAGGCACATCCGGAAGCGCCTGGGGGCCGTTCCGCCGCCGCCCGCGCCGCCGGGTGCCAGCAGCGGGGGCTGGCCCGCCCGCTGCCCGTCAGCTGGTCGCGGCCTCGGCCCCGCGCCGCGGCGGCGGGCAGCGCCGGCACGACCCACGAGCGGCGGGCGCGTGCGCATCCGCGCCCCTATCGGTGTGGCTGCCGTGGCGCGACCCCGCGGAAGGCGGTCGCACGGATGTGGTCCGCGCGGGGCACCCGCGAAGAAGCGCCAGGCATCCGCGGGGTCCCGGCCCAGGGGCCCGGCCCGCGAAGCCGCGGATAGGGATGTGCTATGAGTCGTTTGCCACTCATTGAGTAGGGGTTCTGTAAAGGGCGCGAGCGTAAAACTAGGCAGCTTGTTGCTCAGGACGTTGAGCCGAGGGACAGCATCATCAGCGTCAGCTCGAATAGCCTCTGGAAACCAATACCTTACGCGGGCATGTGCCAGCGAACTAGCAGATACTCGCCTGCGAGTCTGGACAACTAATCTCGTGATCACGTTCTGGGATCACTTCGGTGGCTTATCCGTGGGGGCTCGCGGGATGGCAGTATACTGGTCGTACGCCTTGAACATATGGCACAAGGCAGACATGCGTACATATTCGCTCGTACGATACGCTGGCACGTGTTCCTCGGCCCCCCGGTGCAGCTTGAGACCGCTCGCGCAGCACAAGTCGGTCAGGCCGAAGAGCCGCGCGGACCATCGACGCTCGACTTAAACCAACTGCACCAATCTGCGCTCCAGTGGATGGCCAAAGGACTTTGGGAGGGAATGCGAATCTAGGAGCTCGCGGAAGTAATTGATGACCTTCGCGTTCGCTACCCAGGGGGGCTGTGGAAGGCTGGTAGAATTGGGAGACGTGGGAGATGGCAGGCATGGAATACGTGCTGTAGCCCTGGGTGGGCTGGATGAAACTCAAGCCGAACTGCCGATTGTCTGGGGAGTAGGAGGACCAGTGCAAACCCAAGACTCCTCAACGATGTTGGTTTACGCCCTCCATCCAAGCTCCCTCTTCATAAGCCCCTATACGGGTTCATCTCCAGTGAGAGAATTGCCCCCTTGGGGGATAATCGTGCGACAATCTGACAGCGCACCGAAACACTTCGTAATATTTCGACGCCACGAATTAACCCGACGTTTGCGTCTTGGCGATCTTGAATCGTGCCCACATGCTATTTCTGGGACTTCGGCACCGCGAATCAGAATAATTTCTGCGCGCCCTGACAATCCTGAGTCGTTCCAAAGACACAAGTGTTGCTACGTTGGCCATGAGAACCAATGAAACTCTTGCAAATGTTCAAAACGAATGTGCGAAGGGCTCAGGCGAGACACACATTTTGAAAAGGAACCATCCTCAATCCTTGAAGCTCTTATAAATGAAAAGCGTGTGCGCCCAGCGCTGAGGCGAGAACCACATTTTGAAGACTTGCAAATGTTTAAAACGAATGCGCGCGGCGCTACGGCGAGAAACACATTATCCCGGCAAAGCAACCTAACAGCGATGTGTAGGAGCATATCTGGAAGCATCCCCCTTAAGATTCAGATGATAATCCAGTTGTAGAGTTCTGCTGTTCTCGCAGTCGTAGTCGCATTCGCGATGACAGTCGCAGTGGCCTGCATTATCAGCCTCAGCCTCAGCCTCAGCCTCAGCCTGCCTCAGCATCAGCCTCAGCCTCAGCTTCAGCCTGCCTCAGCCTCAGCCTCAGCCTGCTCCTGCATCAGCCTCAGTCTGCCTGCAGCCTCGGCCTCAGCCTCAGCCTGCCTCAGCCTGAGCCTGCCTCAGCCTCAGCCTCAGCCTCAGCCTCCTCAGCAGCCTCAGCCTCAGCCTCAGCCTCAGCCTCAGCCTCAGCCTCAGCCTCAGCCTGCTTCAGCCTCAGCCTCAGTCTGCCTTCAGCCTCGGCCTCAGCCTCAGCCTGCCTCAGCCTCAGCCTGCATCAGCCTCAGCCTCAGCCTCAGCCTGCCTCAGCTCAGCCTGCCTCAGCCTCAGCCTCAGCCTGCCTCAGCCTCAGCCTCAGCCTGCTTCAGCCTCAGCCTCAGTCTGCCTTCAGCCTCGGCCTCAGCCTCAGCCTGCCTCAGCCTCAGCCTGCATCAGCCTCAGCCTCAGCCTCAGCCTGCCTCAGCATCAGCCTGCCTCAGCCTCAGCCTCAGCCTGCCTCAGCCTCAGCCTCAGCCTGCTTCAGCCTCAGCCTCAGTCTGCCTTCAGCCTCGGCCTCAGCCTCAGCCTGCCTCAGCCTCAGCCTGCATCAGCCTCAGCCTCAGCCTCAGCCTGCCTCAGCATCAGCCTGCCTCAGCCTCAGCCTCAGCCTGCCTCAGCCTCAGCCTCAGCCTGCTTCAGCCTCAGCCTCAGTGCCTCAGCCTCAGCCTCAGCCTCAGCCTCAGCCTCAGCCTGCCTCAGCCTCAGCCTCAGCCTGCCTCAGCCTCAGCCTCAGCCTGCTTCAGCCTCAGCTCAGTCTGCCTTCAGCCTCGGCCTCGCCTCGGCCTCAGTCTCAGCCTCAGCCTCAGCCTGCTTCAGCCTCAGCCTCAGCCTCAGCCTGGCTCAGCATCAGCCTGCCTCAGCCTCAGCCTCAGCCTGCCTCAGCCTCAGCCTCAGCCTGCTTCAGCCTCAGCCTCAGTCTGCCTTCAGCCTCGGCCTCAGCCTCAGCCTGCCTCAGCCTCAGCCTGCATCAGCCTCAGCCTCAGCCTCAGCCTGCCTCAGCATCAGCCTGCCTCAGCCTCAGCCTCAGCCTGCCTCAGCCTCAGCCTGCTTCAGCCTCAGCCTCAGTCTGCCTTCAGCCTCGGCCTCAGCCTCAGCCTGCCTCAGCCTCAGCCTGCATCAGCCTCAGCCTCAGCCTCAGCCTGCCTCAGCATCAGCCTGCCTCAGCCTCAGCCTCAGCCTGCCTCAGCCTCAGCCTCAGCCTGCTTCAGCCTCAGCCTCAGTCTGCCTTCAGCCTCGGCCTCGGCCTCGGCCTGCCTCAGCCTCAGCCTGCATCAGCCTCAGCCTCAGCCTCAGCCTGCCTCAGCATCAGCCTGCCTCAGCCTCAGCCTCAGCCTGCCTCAGCCTCAGCCTCAGCCTCGGCCTGCTTCAGCCTCAGCCTCAATCTGCCTTCAGCCTCGGCTTCAGTCTCAGCCTGCCTCAGCCTCAGCCTGCATCAGCCTCAGCCTCAGCCTCAGCCTGCCTCAGCCTCAGCCTGCATCAGCCTCAGCCTGCTTCAGCCTCAGCCTCAGCCTGCATCAGCCTCAGCCTGAGTCTGCCTTCAGCTTCGGCCTCAGCCTCAGCCTGCCTCAGCCTGCCTCAGCCTCAGCATCAGCCTGCCTCAGCATTCAAAATGTGGCCAGGGAATGGAATTCTGGGAACTCGAAGAACACGAAGTGGCCTACAGTTTGCTCCGGGCATTCAAAATCATACCCAGGAATGGAGTTCTGGGAAGTCCAAGAGCACGAAGTGGCCTACAGTTGGCTCCGGGCATCCAAAATGTGGCCCGGGAATGAAGTTCTGGGAACTCGAAGACCACGAAGTGGCCTACAGTTGGCTCCGGGCATCCAAAATGTGGCCCGGGAATGGAGTTCTGGAAACTCGTAGACCACGAAGTGGCCTACAGTTGGCTCCGGGCATCCAAAATGTACGCCGGGAATGGAGTTCTGGGAACTCGAAGACCACGAAGTGGCTTACAGTTGGCTCCGGGCATTCAGAATGTGGCCCGGGAATGGAGTTCTGGGAGGTCGAAGAATGGAGTTCTGGGAGGTCGAAAAGCACGAAGTGTGTGACTGTTTGCGAAAAACGATCCCCCCCAGCAAACCCCAACGGCCCCCCAACGGCCCCCCAACGGCCCCCCAACTCGTCCCCAACGGCTGCCCAGACCCCCCTGTGGAGTAATGTGCTGCTCTCTTTTTACCCCACTAGAAACCTATCAGTCTTCGCTGTTAGGTAATTTTGAAAACGAGCCGCCCTCATTCCGTGAAACTTGGCATATGTTCAAAGAATGTGTGCGCGGCGCTATTTTGAAAACCGCCCGCCCTGAATCCGTGCCAAACTGTAAAACGAACGTGCGCAGCGCTCAAAGGACAACTGCATTTTGAGAACGACCCGCCCTCAATCCGTGAATTTCTTGCCACCTTTTCTCATGCAAAAAACGAATGTGCGCAGCGCTAACGCTCATAAGCGGCAAGAAAGGCTCAGGCGACCGCCAGGCCAGCCCTTCCGACTTGCCTCGGGGTGCGACACGGGGGAGTTATTCAGAAGGAAAAGGAATGGAGGAGGAGGAGGAGGAGGAGGAGGAGAAGGAGGAGGAGGAGGAGGAGGAGGATGCAAGCGTACCGCGACGACGACGACGACGCGTCCCACCCCACCCCGCGCTGCCCGCCTGCGGCGAACCGTTGGACGCGGTGATGTGCAGCTCCCGCAACGCGGTGGCTGCTGCGTCCAAATTCGCGGCGTGGTTGAGGACGAAGGCCGAGGGGATATGACGCAACGAATGATATACATGGCATGCAATGAGAACTCCCTTCCATGTCGAGACGGTGCAAACCGGGCCCCCCCCCAGCGAGCCCAAGGATCATAATCGAGCCATTTGTACCGCAGCAAAATCAAAATCGACTACGCCAGACGGGGGCAGCTTGCATGATGAAGCTGGCGGTCGGGCCAATTTTCGCATCCGAAGATGCAACGCGTGCGGCCGCGCTCACAAAAGGCCCGATGCGACGTCAAACATGCCCCGCTCAAGGCACGGTGCCAGGACCACTCCCAGGAAGGAGGGGGAGATTTCAGTGCGTCCTGGGTGCTGGGCCAGTCAGTGGCCTCGATCTCCTGTGCCCGTTCGGGCCACCATTTCTTCAGTCGGGAACTGTAGCGTTCGGACAAACAACTCGGAGGCCAGCACGAGATGCGCGCAATCTTCGCCGCTCTCTGCGGTTTCGCATCATGTCTACGGCAGGCGCGGGCCGCGGCAACATGCATCTCCGAGCCAGCGCCGCGCTCGGCGTCGCGCAGATACTCGACGAAGGCACGGCGCCTCAGTGCGCCGGATATCTCTGCCCCTTGGGCACAACGGACAGTCGGCGCTCGCCGAGCTCCTCGGACGCGAGCGCGTCTGTCAT